GTCCTGAAGACAGGCTGAGGATCATGGCAACCATCCATCAGAGCAAGCAATCGGAACCAACCTCAATGAAAGTGAGGTTTTCCAAGTTCTTCATTGCCAAAATCAAAGAAGTCTCAACTGAATGTATGTGAACTGTAGTTTAAATAAAAGCAGCTGCTGATCATCAAAGATCCTGGTTTTCTCTGATGAAAAAAATCCTCAATTTTCGGTTTAAAAAAAGTAACCCAAATCCACATTTTTCCATGATTAAAATGAAACACTACTATATATATTATGGTGTTTTGTTTTAATCATGGGAAAATGTGGATTTGGGGTTACTTTTTTTAAACTGAAAATTGGGGATTTTTTTATCAGAGAAAACCAGGATCCCTGATGATCATCTAACATTGTCCTACAATATTTCTATACATGCTTTTAATAAATGTCAACACTTGACATTTTTATGCTGTCCTGACTTCTACAATACAGGCAGTCCTCGGATTTATGACACAATTGGTTCCTGAAAACCACGTCTTAAGTCGAAACGTTATAACTCAGAACCAATTTTCTCATAAGAAACAATGTTATAAATGGGGGTTTGGTTCCTGAACCAAGGCCCAATACCCTATTTTCACCAAAATACCCCAGAATTTTGTACTCAATTAATTATAGATGAGTAATATAGCTACATTAATGTATTTATATTGTAATTAGCAATCATATTGATTTGGAAGGACATCTTTGAGGTGACTTTGCTGGACTTTTTGAAAGGCTCTTGGTTGGACTTTTTGAAGGAGTCTTGGCTGGAGTTTTCTCAGGAGTCTTGGCTGCAGGTTTTTCTGGAGTCTTGTCTGCTTTCTTAAAGAAAGTGTCCAAGGAAGTTTGGACAGATGTTCTCCAGGGAGATGGATGACACAGCGAATTTGTTCACTGGCATGGCATTGCATCAGATCAAGCATTGTAAGTCAAAACTGGTGTTGTAAAGTTGAAACAGGGTATCAATTTATAAACATTGTAAGTGTGAAACGTTGTAACTCGAAACATAATTCAAGGACTGCCTGTACCAAATTTCCATAGTGGCTGAAACATGTAGGCTTAAAGGAATGAAGACATACAAACTGATAAAAAGAAGAAAAGAGAAGGTGAAGAAAAGGGAGATAATCAATAAAGAAAAGGAACTAGAATGAAGAAAATGTTATATGTTTATAGTTCTAGAGAAGGGCAGAATAAAACCCCAAAATGAAAAAGGGAGAAATGCAGACAGAAAGGCAGAAACCAAATCCTGATCTGAAGATGTTTGGAAGGAAGAAGAAGCAGCAGTTTTTTAAAAAAATCAAAATTTAAACATTCATTTAAACATTCATATGATGGTGTGTGTGTACACTGTATTACACACACACATATATATATAAATCAGTTTCTGTGTGTGTGTGTGTGTGTGTGTGTGTGTGTGTGTGTGTGTGTGTGAAAGAAAAATAGAAAAGGACAAAAGAATATCTATACTAAGATCTACAAGATGGTGTGAAGGAAAAGGAAAATGAAATGAAAGTAAGAATAAATAAAGGTCACAGAGTAAACTGAGTTTTTGAAATTACTAAAACATTATGGTACACAGGATAGCAAAACATTGCTGAGAAGTACAGAAATATTTGATTTTTCTTTGAAGACATCAAAAACAATGCTGAAGGGAGGAAGTAAGACATATGAGATGTGGGTAAATGACCCAATTACTGCTGGAAGGTTGGAGGAAATAGCCTGATTGTGTTGCAAAAACAGATTTTCTTTTAGTAACCAGTGTTTTATTTATTTCCTAGCATGGTTTTTGATTAATTTTTAAAGACTGATAAAAATACCTGAGTACATTTGTTTCTTGTTTTAGTGCCTGTTTGTTGCATTATACTAGCGAAGTTTTTCTGAAACAGAATTCCAAATCAATACTAGAAAGAATACATCATTTCACAAAAACCTTAGCAAAAGTAATAAATTACATATAACTTGTAGAGAAGTTTTAAGTATCCTATAGCCAAATTCTGTTGTCGTCATTCATTCTGAGTAGTAGCAGTACTCTGTCACTGCTTCAGCTGATTTCAAATAAAAATATTTTCTTATTTTGATTATAGGAACTAGCTGTAGAGTAATGTGCTATATAATGTCATTTTCTAAAATTTTTTACTTTTTACTTTTAAGTAACTTTTAAATTATTTCTTTAAGTGACTTCAGTCATAAATCTGCATTACTGAAGAGGAAAGCTTGTAAGTATGACTCAGGTGGCCCTTTTCAGGTTGAAAGCCCATAAATCAAACAAATGACCCCCAGATTTGATATTTTTTCAAGAATTTCATTATTTCAAAGCCATACTCCTAGTTTTTGCAGTCCAGTTCTTGAAAATTTGGAATTTACAAGAATACAAGCAAATGTAATAGCAAAGTGACCTTTCTTATTTGGAACGTCCTTTCTGCTTCATTTTTAGGATAAATTGCTCTTTGACCTTACTCTGGAAGAGTCATAATGTAACCCAGGTACACCCAAGGGTGTGCCCTATTCTCAATTGAATGGGATGGGTAGGCAGGAGGGGGTGCTGTGAGAGGGATTGTGGTGTTGATGCCTACACAGTTAGATGGGTCGCCAATTGGCTGGAGGGCCGCACCCAGAGAGTGGTGGTGGAGGGGTCATTTTCAACCTGGAGGGACGTGGGCAGTGGGGTTCCCCAGGGCTCGGTCCTCGGGCCCGCACTGTTCAAGATCTTCATCAGCGACTTGGACAAGGGGGTGAAAAGCACCTTGTTCGAATTCGCAGCTGACACTAAGATGTGGGGATAAGTGAGCACACTAGAAGGGAGGGACAGGCTGCAATTGGATCTGGACAGGTTACAGAGGTGGGCGGATGAGAATAAGATGGGATTCAATACTGACAAGTGCAGGGTACTGCACCTAGGGAGAAAGAACCAGCAACATACCTACAGGCTGGGGAACTCCCTTCTTGTCAGCACAGAGGCAGAAAAGGATCTTGGAGTCATTATAGACTCCAAGATAAACATAGGCAGCCAATGTGAGGACGCTGTCAGGAAGGCTAACCGCACCTTGTCATGCATCCACAGATGCATCACGAGTAGGTCCAAGGAGGTGATCCTCCCCCTCTATGCGACATTGGTCAGGCCGCGGTTGGAGTACTGCCTCCACTTCTGGGCACCGCACTTCAGGAAGGATGCGGACAACATCAAGAGGGTCCAGAGGATGGCCACTCACATGATCAGGGGGCAGCAGGGCAGGCCCTATGAGGAGAGGCTATGAGACCTCCGCATTGGTGGGACAGCTAACATGACTGGAGAACTGTCTCCGCAGTACTCCAGAGGTGGCCTCACCAGTGTCAAATAGAGGAGAAAAATCACTTCTCTCTGTCTGCTGGCAGTGCTCCTACTAATGCAGCCCAGTATGCCTTCACCCTTTTTGGCAACAAGGGTACACTGTAGGATCATATTCAGTTTATTGTCCACTATAACCCCCAAGTCCTTTTCTGCAGAACTGCTGCTTAGCCAGTCAGCCCCCAGCTTATAGCAGTGCATGGGATTCTTCCATTCTAAGTGCAGGACTTTGCACTTGTCCTTACTGAATCTCATGAAATTTCTTTTAGTCCAATCCTCCAATTTGTCAAGGTCTCTCTGAATCCTAGCCCTACCCTTCAGCATATCTACTAGTCCACCAAGTGTGGTGTCATCTGCAAATTTGTTGAGGGTGCATTCCATCCCATCTTCCAGGTCACTGATGAAAATATTGAACAAAACTGGGCCCAGGACCAACCCCTGGGACACTCCACTTGATACTGGCTGCCAACTAGATATCAAGCCATTCACTACTACCCTCTGAGCCCAATGATCCAGACAGTTTTCTATCCACCTTACAGTCCATTCAGCCAACCCATATTTCCTTAGCTTGCTTGCGAGAACATAGCAAAAGCCTTGCTAAAGTCAAGGTATATCATGACCACTGGTCTCCCTCCATCCACAGAGCCAGCCACTTCATAACTGAAGGCAATCAAATTGGGCATGCATGACTTGCTCTTGGTAAACCCATGCTGACTGTTCCTAATCACCATCTTCTCCTCCAGGTACTTAGACATGGATTCCTTGAGGACCTGCTCTATGGTTTTTCCAGAAACTGAGATAAGGCTGAACAGTCTGTAGTTCTCTGGCTCCTTCTTCTTCCTTTTTGTAACAGGGTGATGGGAGTGGGGAAGAAGAACATTCAGTCATCTCCTTCCTCTTATAAGCAGGCAGGCGAAAAGCCCTGACTGCACTGAGACGTGTCAGGGAAATGCCAAGGGCAGCACACCAAGTCTCTGTTATTCCAAAAGCATGGGTTTCTGGTCCTACATCCTATATTGAGCACAGGCAGTGTAAGCACTTCTCATAATCTACTTTTTTACACATGCATTTGGTTTCCCCAGACAAGTCAGAAAGTAGTGAAGCTACATAATAGTATACATAGGTGTGCTGATATACATTTTGTTTATGTTCAAGTGCATTTTTACTTCCACTAGGGAACTTTCCCATTTCCAGAAACCAGTGCAGATCAATCAGTTCTTAAGACAGGTTAACTGTGAGCAGAGGCAAAATAGCAGCAGACCCACTTTCAGCACTTGGTTACCTTTATCCATGACAATATGCAATAAGAGAAATTCAGCAATAAGCAGTTTTCTTTGTTTGGGTGAATTTATGCTACATGGAGGGAAGATGCAGACAGGCCTGAGAACAGAGGCTTTGCTGACTCTTGTCATTGACAGCCCAAGGGCAGGGCAGGGCCATCCTGGTGATTAGGCAGACAAGTTGAGCTCTGGCCACAGCTAGACTGCCACCCTATGATGGGGGATGAGCAGAGGGCTGCAAAGCCCCATGGATTGCTGGTGGAATGCAACCTACCATGAATCATAGTGGGATCTGGTACAGATGTTCATTACAGCACTCTAACCCATAGCGCTGAAGTCTGATACCACATCCATCCAGGGTTATCTTAGAGTGGGATTCACCATTTTTACAGAGCTCTATGTGCCCTGACTGTCTGTTCAGTTATGGCTGTAGAGTGCTTTCTATGTACCTACTGTGCAATAAGTGTAACCCCTGTACCTGGCCTCCATGTGCATTGGTGTCATGAAACTGTGTATGAAAAATCACAGATATTGCCATTAAGCAAATACAACCAGGCCTCTCACCTCAGTCCCACAAACGTCTTACCTGTCCTTCAGTTACAGTCTTATATTTTTCTAATTGGTAGTCCAGGCTTGCCCCAGTCACATTTTCAGACTGTTGCCAGAGCAGCTGAGTCATAGGCACTGACTTTTATTTTTGCTGAGGGAGGCCTAAGATTAGCAAAGCCAAGCCAAGTGGAGCCCATGGTGGGGTGGGGGTGGATGTGGGCTGAAAACCCGGGTCCCTCCACAATACTGCAAATCCAGGACAAATGCTGTCCTGGAATCATGCAGCCTGGAACTGGGACTTGATGTTACCATTTCAGGACTGCATCTTCCTGAGGAGGGCTTACTGATAGTTTTGGCTCCACCTAATACCCTACCTGGTCTCTCCTCTTTCATTTGCCTGTGACCAGGGAGCCAGCGAACAGGGACTGGCAACAGGACAGCAGTTTGCATGCAGTTCATAGGCCAGTCGTGGGCAGGAATACAAGGTATTCAGGTAAGTGAATGAAGTGGGGGGCTACTATGGGGGTGGTAACACAGAGTGCAGCCAGGGCCCCTGCCCTGCTGCTGCCTCCAGCCTGGAGCTCCTGTGAGGCCTCCACCCAGACAGGCCCCTTGGATGGGTCGGCAGTGCCCTGGCCCCCTGTCTGCCAGGGCTACCCCCAGGCCCCCACTCTGAGGCCTGGGGGTAGCAAGGGGGCTGGGGGTTCCGTTGCCTGTCCCACATGTGCCCGGACTGGGTCCCTACAGGGGCAGGTAAGGGAACTCCAGGCAGAGGTGAGCAGGCTGCAGAGGATCTGAGCAACTGAAGAAGAGATGGATGGCTACTTTCATTCTCTGCAGGACAAGACTCCTGGCAAAGAAGCTGCGAGGGAATGCCCCGATGCAGATGCTGGAGAGTGGAGGATGGTCATCTCAGGGGCCAGACCTCTCGCCACAGAGACAGCTCCCTCGGTGCAGTTGGGGAACAAATATGAGGCCCTGGCTCCATTGGAGGAGTGTGCAGTGGGGGGAAGTGCACTGGAGGGGCCTGCCGCCATCATTGAGCAAGCTGAGCACCGGCCAGGTAAGCAGCAGAAGAGACGCCTCATCATCATTGTGGGCAACCCCTTGCTGAGAGGAACAGAGGGATCCATCTGTCATTTGGATCCTATGGCACATGAAGTCTGCTGCCTGCCCAGAGCCAGGATCAGAGATGGCACTATGAGAATTCCTGATCTCATCCAGCCCTCCGACAATTATCCCATAGTCCTCATCCATGTGGGAACAAATGATGCAGCCAGGAGTAGTCCAGATCGTATCATAAGTGACTACAAGGCTCTTGGGACCAGGCTTAGGAAGACGGGGGAGCAGGTGGTCTTCTTGTCAATCCTCCTGGTCAGCGGTCACAGTAGGCATCACGTCACCAGTGTCAGGGAAGTCAACCCGCGGCTTTGGAGTTGGTGCCATCGTGCAGGTTTTGGCTTCCTGAACCATGATCTGCACTTCCACGCAAGAGACCTCCTGGGACGCAATGAGCTTCATTTCTCCATAAAAGGTAAGAGTCTCTTTTCTTACAGGTTGGCTGACCTCCTATGTTGGGCTTTAAACTAAGTACAACAGGGGATGGGGAGGCAGGAGATGGAGAGAGTCTAGAACCTACAGACTGCAAGACATGCAGCAGTACACCCCAGGTAAGTACCAAGGGGTCCTTTGAGCATCAGAATGGGGGGAGCAGCAAAGGCACCATTCGGAGGCCTCAAGTGCCTCTATGCTAATGTTAGGAGCATGGGAAACAAGCAGGAAGAACTTGCACTTCTGCTTGAAGATAATAACTTCAATTTAGTGGGGCTAATGGAAACCTAGTAGGACCCTACCCATGACTGGGCAGTACACATTGAGGGCTACAGGTTGTACAGAAGGGACAGACTAGGGAGGAAAGGGAGTAGTGTTGCTCTCTATGTAAAAGAGCATTATACATCTACCCTAATCAAAATGGGATCAGAGAAGGAGAAAGTTGAGGCTGAGGCATTGTGGGTTAGGATACATGGAGGTCATGGGGAAAGGGACTTGGTGGGGGCGGGTCTGCTACAGACCACTACACCAAGAGAAAAAAATAGACTTGGAATTCTTGAGGCAGCTCTCAGAGGCCGTACAGTCTAGGAACGTGGTTGTCATGGGGGACCTAAACTACCCTGACCTCTGCTGGGAGGAGCAGTCAGGCAAATCTAACCATTCATGTAAATTCTTAACCTGCATGTAGGACCTTCACCTAATGCAGGAGGTATACAGTCCCACTAGGGGGAATGCCTTACTGGATTTGGTGTTGGACCTGGTAGGGGAGCTGCAGATTCACGGTCACCTTGGGGACAGTGAGCACCAATCAATCGAATTCACATATGGCGTAGGGTGGGTAAGATAACTGGTACAGTGAAAGTGCTTGACTTTAGGAAGGCTAACTTCAGTGTGCTTAGGAGTCTAGTCAATGAAGCACTGCAGGAGAAGAGTATTGGCGAGATGGGAGTCCAGGAAGGCTGGGTGTTCCTAAAGGAAGTGATCCTTTGGGCACAGAGGGAGACTATCCCAGTACGAGGGAAAAGGGGGAAAGGAGCCAAAAAACTTCTTGGGTAAACAGGGAAATCCAGGGGAGCTAAAGGCAAAAAAGAAGGCATATAGTCGGTGGAAGCAGGGGGAAGCTACCAAGGAGGACTATACCTACTTGGCCCTCACTTGCAGGGAGGCAGTCAGAAAGGCCAAAGCAACTACAGAGCTGAGGCTGGCAACACAAATTAAAGACAACAAAAAGTCTTTTTTTTAGGGATTTAGGGAGTAAAAGGAAGGCACAGGGCAGCATAGGACCCCTACTAAACAAGGAGGAGAAATGCAAGAAGTGACAGACAGGGGGGGACAAGGCTGAGCTATTCAATGAGTTTTGTGCCTAAGTGTTCCTGAGCAGGGTTCAAGATAAGTCTCCTAATGGATTCTTAGATGGGCATCAGAGGGACACCAGCCTACCAACTGTCGATGCTGACTTGGTGCAGAGTCACTTGGATGGACTGGATGTGTTCAAGTCAGCAGGCCCAGATGAGCTGCATCCGAAGGCACTAAAGGAATTGGCTGGTGTCATAGCAGAACCATTGGCATGGCTGTTTGAGAGCTCATGGTGCTCAGGTCAGGTCCTAGAGGACTGGAGAAAGGCCTATGTGGTCCCTATTTTCAAGAAGGGGAGGAAGGAGGATCTTAGTAATTATAGGCCAGTCAGTCTCACCTCCATCCTTGGAAAGGTCTTTGAAAAGATTATGAGGGATCATATTTGTGGGAGTCCAGCAGGAAAAATAATACAGCAGGGAAACCAGCATGGATTTGTAGCAGGTAGATCATGCCTGACCAATCAGGTTTCGTTTTATGATGGGGTCACAAAATGCTTAGACACAGGAGTAGAGGTGGGTGTCATTTTCTTGGACTTTAGCAAGGCCTTCGATACGGTATCTCATCCTATTCTCATAAATAGATTAAGAGACTGCATGGTCCGGTGGGTGGCAAACTGGCTTAGCAGGCTCACGCAGAGAGTGGTAGTAGATGGGTCGGTATTGACCTGGATGGATGTGGGTAGTAGTGTCCCACGGCGTTCAATCTTTGGACCTGTACTCTTCAATATCTTCATCAGTTACCTGGATGCAGGTGTGAAGTGTACTCTGTCCAAGTTTGTGGATGATACTAAATTGTGGGGTGAAGTGCACACTCCAGAAGGTAGGGAACAATTGCAGGCAGACCTGGAGAGGTTAGAAAAGCGGGCAGTACGCAATAGGATCCAATACAACAAGGAGAAGTGCAGAGTGCTGCACCTAGGGTGCAAAAATATCCAGCATATCTACTGGCTGGGAAGTGACCATGTCAGGAGCACAGAAGCGGAAAGGGATCTCGGAGTCATAGTGGGCCAATGTGGTCCCCATTTTCAAGAAGAGGAGGAAGGAGAACCCAGGCAACTATAGGCCAGTCAGTCTCACCTCCATCCTTGGCAAAGTCTTTGAAAAAATTATCAAGGCTCACATTTGCGAGAGCCTGGCAGGAAAAATTATGCTGAGGGGAAACCAGCACAGGTTCATAGCAGGTAGATCATGCCTGACTAATCTATTCTCTTTTTATGACCAGGTTACAAAACGCCTGGACACAGGAGTAGGGGTTGACGTCATATACTTAGACTTCAGGAAGGCCTTCGATACGGTATCCCACCCCATACTGGTGAACAAGTTAAGAGGCTGTGACTTGGATGACTACACAGTCCGGTGGGTGGTGAATTGGCTAGAGAGTCGCACCCAGAGAGTCATAGTGGATGGGTCAGTATCGACCTGGAAGGGTGTGGGCAGTGGAGTCCCGCAGGGCTCGGTCCTAGGACCGATACTCTTCAATGTCTTCATCAGCGACTTGGA